AGACCGAAGAGTCGGTCTCATTCACACACAGGGGGGGGGGGAGAGAAGGCAAGAGTGAGCATGACTATTAACACAGCGGGAATAGAGAATCGGCATGTAAAACTGGACAGAGGGACAGGGACCTCAAACATTGTGTTTTGACAGGGCCGGGCGGAGCCGGGTAAGCCAGCTAGTTCAGCTATAAATTGGCACGTGTGTGTGTGTGTGTGTGTGTGTGTGTGTGTGTGTGTGTGTGTGTGTGTGTGTGTGTGTGTGTGTGTGTGTGTGTGTGTGTGTGTGTGTGTGTGTGTGTGTGTGTGTGTGTGTGTGTGTGTGTGTGTGTGTGTGTGTGTGTGTGTGTGTGTGTGTGTGTGTGTGTGTGTGTGTGTGTGTGTGTGTGTGTGTGTGTGTGTATGTGTGTGTGTGTGTGTGTGTGTCGCTAAGATAAGATGGTGTGTGTGCCGCTAAGATAAGATGGTGCGTGTATCGCTAAGTTAAGATGCACGCAGAACATAAGAAGAGGTTGAATCATTCATAATTGAAGATCCGCGGGAGATGGCTCTCATGAAAGCAATGAATCTCATTTTGATAGCGATAAGATAATGTTATGCAAATGATTCTTCTAACTGACTTCAACGGTTCAACGTTGTTTAACGACTCAAGCTACTGTATCCTTTTCAAAGTTTTCAACTGTAGGATCCTACAAGAAGATGTTTTTTTTTTCATCTAAATAGTATTATCATGCCTGTTTGAAGTCCAAGTCCCGTTATGTTCGCGGCTGTTCAAAGGAGGGTCTGAAGAGATGCAAAGATCTAAGCAAGCTTTATCGAAGATTTCATCGATCTGAGGTTCCCTTACCTCTGGCACAAGCATATGTAGCACTGTCATATTAGACTCTCGGCGCAACTTTATGATGTTTTCATCGTGTTAACAAAAAAATAGGAGACATTGAATAAAAGTGGAGTCTTCTTGGGGATCTTTCAGGAGATCACATAAGACTATGAAAAACTCAGCTTGCATAATAATGCTCTGTCAACAATCGAGCCAAGGCATTGAACATGATGGTCCCAAGATTCCCATTTGAGGGGAGGACAAGGCGAATAAAGTTTATTTCGAATAAAGGTGCGTGGCGCTAGCCACGCACTCCCGAAAAATTTTTGGGATGCTTCTCACTACTTTATCGAGCCTGCGAGTCAGTCTCTAAAATGTTCCATATGCAAGACTAATTTTATTTTTTCAAAGTTTCAGAAATTACTTTTATTAACTAAGGGTATGAAGAAGTCTCATGCACATTTCTGTAACTCACGTATAGGCTGTATCAATCAGCATCCTTTATGCGACGTCGCGCCAGCGGCGACTTCTGACGATGCGATGTGACGCGGCGAATTCTACCACTCGTTAGGCACGTCGCATGCGACGGTGCGTCGTCGCAAGGCATGCTGACGCGGGACCGATGCCAGCTGATACAGCCTATAAG